GGAAGGAAGGAAGGAAGGAAGGAAGGAAGGAAGGAAGGAAGGAAGGAAGGAAGGAAGGAAGGAAGGGCAGGAGCTGCAAACTGGGAGCTCAAGGCAGGTGGGCAAAGAGCCCAATAACCAAGGATCTGGGGGCCCGGTCTTGGGGGCCAGGGTGCATGATGGTTTGGAGCGAAGAGCAAACATTCCAAATGGCGAGTCGGAAGTGACTGCTAACTGGGGTTCCCTGGACACAGAGGGCAAAGCTACAGTCTGCTTGGTTATAGGAGCGGGAACTCTAGGTTGTATTTCAAACCATGTGAACAAACAGAAGTGTATTGCAGAGCGTTCCTCAGAAGCCACACAGAATGTTTGTTAAGAGGTCACTTCATTATTTCTCAAAAAAACTTAGATTTATTTATTTGATGTGAATGGGTGTTTTGTCTGTATACATGTGTGAGCACCATGTGCATGCCTGGAGCCTGCAGAGGCCAGAGAGGGTGCTGGATCCCCAAGACTGGAGTTGCAGATGGTTGTAAGCTGCACTGTGGGTATTGGGAACTGACCTAAGTCCTCTGCAAGGGCAGTCAGTGCTCTTACCCGCTGAGTGGTCTCTGCAGATCTCCTCTCTGATCCCACCTGCAACACCTTCCCACTCCTGGAAGACTCAGCTCTAACCACAGGCTGTGAAGAGATGGTGCCGAGTACTCACCTCTTCTTCCCATTCTCTAGACACACGCAACCAGAAGGACGCCGAGGACTGAGAACGACTAGTCCGCTTGCTAGGCACACGTAACCAGAACTACACCAAGGACTGAGAACGACTAGTCCTCCTGCTAGGCACACGTAACCAGAACTACACCAAGGACTGAGAACGACTAGTCCTCCTGCTAGGCACACGTAACCCGAAGGACATGAGGACTGCGGATCGAGTAGTCAGTCCTCTTGCTGATTTTCTTCTGACAGTCTAGTTATAGTGTCTCATTATGTTGTTCAGGCTGGTCTCAAACAAACAGGCTCACGCCATCCTCCCTGGCCTAGGCCTTCCAAGTAACTGAACCTACAGGAGTGAGCCACCAAGCTGGCTGATGAGACCTTTACAGCCATACACAATCCGGGATGATACAGCTACCTCCCAAGCCTTTCTACTCATCACATACCTCCCGAGTCTCTGCCCACAAGCACTGAATTACACAGGTACCTTTTCCTGATGACACTCTTTTACAACAGTTTAATGTGACATTAGCAGACACTTACAGGACAGACCAGACCGTCTCTCCATAGTTACTAAACTTGGTCATTATACTATACAGGCAGCTAGAGAAGATAAGGAAATTAAAGGACACAACTGTCACCCACCTCTAGTCTAATTTAAGAATGTCCACACTATCTTTTCCTCTAACTCACTGTACATGTCAACATGGCTACCTCTGACAAGCCTGGCCCCTGTGCTATACATTCTTCTCATGCATATGCATTCACCAACGTCTGCTCGCAGCACTCCTGTGTATACATACAAGCACGAGGGGGTGTGTGCTGGCAGGAGAACACAGGCCTTGTGCATGCTCGGTACCTGTTTTACCTCTGAGCCGCATCCCCAACCCTATCCAGAAGGACGATTTGTCACAGCCAAGAGTTAGAAACGACATAAACACCTGTCAACATTAAAATGAAGAATGAAGGCTACAGAGACGGCTCAGTGGTTAAGGGCACTTGTTGCTCCCGCAAAGGACCCGTTTTGGTGTCCAGCACCCACACTGAGTGGCTCACAGTTGCCTGTTATTCCAGTTCCAGGGGATCTGACACTCTCTTCTGGCTTCTGTGGGCACCTGCATGCTCGTGGCTTACATACATAACTCCCAGGCATACACACACACACACACACACACACACACACTTAAAAGTAAACAAACAAGAATGAATTATCAGTTGTGGCATAGTTACACAATGGGATAATGGCCTTGGTAAGGAGAAAAAAAAACCCTGCAAGTATACATGGATAAATCTCTGAAACCTAACATTGAACAAAATAAGTAGGGTATAACAGACAACACAGTGTATGATACAATTTACACAGGGTTTAAAACTACTGTGTGGTGTTAGAAATCAGCACAGTGGCTACCCAAAGTGAGAGGGTGGCAGGCTAGCCCACGAGAGGAGGGGAAGAAAGTCTTTGGGAATGTCAGGAATCTACCGCAGTAGGGTAAGGATACTCAGACGTGTACTCCGTGAAAATTCATGACTTTGTATATTCCTGTATGGATGCCATTTTTAGATAAAGAATTTATAGGAAAAGTACCCCACACTTCCAGAACAGCCATCAAAGTCTTGAGGAAAGAGTGGGCAGCCTCCAGGTCCTATTAGAAAACTTGTTTTGGAAGAGCGAGCACTGCAGAGACTGACCGCAGGAGAGGACACAGGAGCTGATTCCCAGACGGAATCCGAAGTCCACCGAGGACCGGCACCTGGACCCACACCTCCAACCTGAGTGGCTCCTGCCAGTCTCATGTTTACAGATATATTTTTACCCTGGCTTGTAGTAGTGGCTTCCTTCACTGAGCTCTGAATCTGATTCTGAATTCCCTTCATCTGAACTGTGCCACAGACCACGTACTCATCTAGTTTACAAGTCGTTAGCGATTTCATAGGAGCAAGTAAGACATTGCATGAGTTAGTGTGCTAACATCATTACTGTTTTAAAACTAGATCGTGCTTGCTTTCCTATTGTGTGTGTGTGTGTGTGTGTGTGTGTGTGTGCGCCCAAGTGCGGTTGTTAGCTGGGTGTGGCGGCACACGTCGGTCAGTTCAAGAAAAGCCTCATCTACAAACCAAGTTCCAGGACAGCCAGAGCTGTTGCACAGTTTCCTCCACAAAAGACACAGCAGGAAAAGAGCAAGGAGTTATATATAATACAAGGTCAGAGAGCAGAGCAAGAGCCAGACACCACTGAAGTGTTCTTACCGGTGCAGTTTGCCGCCATAAAACGGCTTAGTGTGAAAAGTGATGCTGGCTGAGTACCCCGTCTTTGCACAGTTGACGCTGACTTTGCCACCCAGTTCCACCCAAGGGACGGTCAGGATGGACCGGGCATAGGCACAAGGCAGGGAAAACGTGTACTCTTCTCCGTGCTCCAACAGACTAAGGACACCTGAGTGTAAAAGCATGAGGGTGGTTAACGTCTCTTCCAAGAAACAGTTCTTTCCCTGTCTAGTAATAAACATTCTTATTTTCTACTCATTTGTCTTTTGATAGTATTGACCCATTTAGGAGCATTTCCAGACAACACCGAATCAGGGTTACTTTCACCGTGACTTTCCTGTTCCTCTGGGGTTCATGGGACCTGTAACTGTTACAGAGCAAGCAGTCTAAGTGTCCCACCAATGCTCCTAAAATAAAATAAAGCCCTGGGCTTGGGGGAGCTCTGCTGTGCAGCATCATGCTAAGGCTTGGTCACCAGCAGCCTGGGAGTCACTTATAGCATGATGAGAAAATGTTCTTCATTCTTGTCTACATATGTGAAAGACCCAGACGTGATCTTTTCATCAAGAACAATGATCATCCCATATTTTATTTGCTAAATTCTGAAGCTATAAGAGGTGTAAGAGATTGAAATGATGATTTTTAAAACAAATATTATTCTATTGGGGGCTTCTTCTATATTAACGATGTTATATTAAAGTAGCCTGCTGTGGGATGTTCTGTAGGTCCTGTGGGAGCCCATTCTCAGGTTCTTTGTGGCGTTACCCAGCAGGTCCGTATAGCGGATGATTAGGACCATGGGCCTGAGTGCAGGTGTTTGAGATGGTCTGCACTTGGCTGTGCTGGGGGATGGTCTGTATGTCAAGTTGCTCTGATTGGTTAATAAATAAAACCTGATCGGCTGTGGCTAGGCAGGAAAGATAGGTGGGACTAACAGAGAGGAGATATAAAAGGACAGAAAGGCAGAAGGAGACGCTGCAGCCGCCGCAATGACCAGAGAGGCTGCAGCCGCCGCCATGACCAGAGACACTGCAGCTGCTGCCATGACCAGCAGCATGTGAAGACGCCAGTAAGCCACCAGCCACATGGCAAGGTATAGATGTATGGAAATGGATCAATTTAAGATAAAAGCACAGTTAGCAAGATAAGGACAGTTGGCAAGAGGCCTGCCACGGCCATACAGTTTGCAAGCAATATAAGTGTCTGTGTTTATTTGGTTGGGTCTGAGCGGCTGTGGGACTGGCGGGTGACAGAGGTTTGTCCTGACTGTGGGCGAGGCGGAAAAATCAAGCTACAGTAGCCAAAACGTATACAAAGGGATTTATAAGAGTGAATAACTGATCTGTGTAAGACACACTAAGTACACCAAAGCTTTGTTAGAATGTCTATGTTTATCTATTATAGTTCAATTAATTGTGTGAGTGTGAGTGGTGTGTGTGTGTGCGCCTGCGCGCGCATTCACAAAGGCCAGAAGCTTAGGTGTTGTTCCTTAGATGTCATCCCCCTTTTGTTTTGGGGACAGAGTCTCTTACTAACCTAGAACTCATCATGAAAGTTTGGGTGGCTGGCCAGTGAGTCCCAGATCCACTTGTCCTTACCTCTCCAACAATGGCATCACATACTAGGTGCCTTTTTCTGAGTTAGAATAAATATTTAAAATTTTAGAACAATCAAAAACAAATGGAACTGGTTGTGGTGGCGCACGCCTTAATCCTGGCACATGGGAGGCAGAGACAGATGGATCTCTGTGAGTTTGGGGCCAGCCTGGTCTACATAGTGAGCAGCAGAGCAGCTAGGGCTATACAGAGACCATGTTTCAACCAGATTTGAATAAATATAGGGAAAAAAAGACTCACAGAATCCTAAAATCTCAGTAATAAAACTAATTTCCCTCTATTGTTGGAGGATATAAATAACAAAAGCAAAATGAATGATCATAAATCCCATGCCAATTGTGTGTGTGTAGGGGAGTATCTACGTATTTGTGTATGTGTGTGTGTGTGTGTGTGTGTGCACTTGCTTGTGCATGTGTATGGAGGCCAGAGGTCAACACCCAGCATCTCCCTGTAACAAGGCTAGCCCTGAAATCACAGAGCTCTGCTTGCCTCAGCCTCTGAGTGTTGCCCCGCCCAGCTCCACCTTTTGAGGTGGTCTCTTACTGCTTACCCATTGCCATGCCAGGCTCTCCTGTCATGGTGCTGGGGACCTGAACTTGGGTGTTCATGTTTGTAAGGCAAGCACCTAACAGACTGAGCATCTCACCATTTTTCCATTCCTTCATTTTATTTACTTGTTGCTAAGGGTAACAGATGGCAGCTTCATTTCCAAAAGGCAGTAACTGTATACATGAAGGCATTAGATAATAAAGAAGTCACTGTACCTCCCCTCGTGATTCAAAGAGTTGGAAATGGCACATGCTCCTCCTTACATATTTGAGAAGCAGAGGCTATAATGCCAGATTGCTCTGTTAAAAACTAGCAAGAACAGTGCTCCTTTGGAAGCACGTGACAAAGAATGCCCAACCTTCACAGGTCCATGTCCCATCACCTCTAGATTTCAACTAATCCTAATCTTAAAAACTAAAACTGAATATATAGGCACAGAAAGAAATATTAAAAGTCAGTTTAAATTATCTATCTCTGGATTAATGGGTTAGTGATGCTTTTATTTCCTCCTCTGAATTTGTTTGTTGGTTTGAAACATGGTCCGACTATGTACCTCTGGCTGGCCTGAAACTCGCTTGGTAGATCATGCTAGCCTTGAACTCACAGAGACCTGCCTGCTTCTGCTTCCAGAGTGCTGTGCTTAAAGGTGTGCACCACCATGCTGCAAAGTTTCTACAATAAAAATACTTGCCGGGTGGTGGTGTTGCACGCCTTTAATCCCGGCACTCGGGAGGTAGAGGCAGACAGATCTCTGTGAGTTCAAGGCCAGCCTGGTCTACCAAGTGAGTTCCAGGACAGGCTCCAAAGCTACACAGAGAAACCCTGTCTCGAAAAACAAAAAAACAAAACAAAACAAAAAACTTTATAGGTGTAGTGGTGAACACCTTTAATTTCAGTGAGTTCCAGGCCAGCCAGAGCTACACACAGTGAGACCATATCTAAAAACAAACAACCCCCAAATCTTTATATTTAAATTTTCACAATATAATTTCAAGGAGAATTTCTATTTGTCCATAGTAATAGCATATGACTCTGGTGTGTCAACACTCATTCTGGAGCACAAACCAGAGCAAAAAAAGTAGTACATGCAACATTTCAGATCTCTAACTAAGCAGTTTCAGGCCCTGGCTGTTCTTGCATAGCACCTAAGGGCTCAGTCCCCAGTCCCCAGACGCGAGCTCACAACTGCCTGTAACTCCAGTTGTGGTTACTGCATATATGCACTTGCATATATGTAGCCAAAACACTCACACACATGCAAACGAATCTTAAAACTCTACGACCAATACCCACAGCCTTTCCAAATGTACCGAGTTTGATATAAAGACCGGAGATCGATTTTCTACTCACCTTCTCCAGCCATCGTCACACCTATTGACATGCCTAAGAACTTGCTTTTAGTCCAGACATGTGCATTTACACACATCTTCCTTTCTGCACATTCTGCGTAAAATCCTGAGACTGGCGGATGATGAGAGACCTGCTCAGCCACGAATCTGACAGTGTAGCAGTCTGAGACCCCCTGGGTGGGAGCATCCTCTGAGAGAGGAGCGTGATTTGTGACGGTTGGGGGGGAAGAGCCGCTGCTCAAGCTGGACGCCACCTCCCTTTTGGGCATCCTCCAGGAGCAGTGGAAGGTCTCCCCAAGGATGGGGTTGTACGGCTTCTTGGCAATGGCTCCCTTTCGGCCTTCATGAAAGGAGGTCAGGTAGTACTCAACAAAGCGGATCATGCGGTCCTCGGGTGTGACTCCATCTGTGATGCCTATAAACAGGTCTGGATGAGACATGAAATCTGCATACATCTCCAGTAAGGAACGCTTCTCCAGGATAAATGTAGGAAGCACCACCTAAAACATCAATGCAAACCAATTAAGGAGAATTAATCCACATATATATCCACAAATAATTATCTCTATCATCTAAGAGGTTTTTTTTTTTTGTTTTTTTTTTTTGTTTTTTTTTTGGTTTTTCGAGACAGGTTTTCTCTGTGTAACCCTGGCTGTCCTGGATCTCACTCCGTAGACCAGGCTGGCCTCAAATTCAGAGATATCCACCAGGCTCTGCCTCCCGAGTGCTGGGATTAAAGACGTTCGCTACCACTGCCTGGCTCTGTTAATTTCTTAAAGGAAAGAAATGATATGAATGAAAAAAAGGAACGTAAATAAAACAATACAATAAAAACAATAATAAAGAGCCAGGCATGATGGCTCAGGCTGTAATCCCAGCATTCAGGAAGCAGAGGCAGGGGGATCAAGAGTTCAAGGCCAGCCTAAGCCATATAGTGAAGCTCTTGTCTCAAAAAACCCAATAGCCCAGCAGGTAAAGGCACTTGCCACCAAGTCTGAAGACCAGAGTTTGATCCTCAGAACCACACTGTGGCAGGAGAGAAGCAAGTTGTCCTCTGACCCACGCTGGCATTTGTGCCCATGCCCAGACCCAAATGTGAAAAATAAAAATAACTAAATTAATTACATTGATGTATATTTTAAACTATGATCTTTGGAGCTTTCACGAGACTAGCACGGTTCTTTAAAGTGACAGAACTGTGAACTGATAGCTAACACAGCTAACAATGCTCTTGGCTTAGCTTCTCCCCTCTTACTGGAAGTCCATTAAAATGGCACCAAGTAAATCCATACACAGACAAGCCCCGAAGAACTCAGAAAGGGGAGAAAAGGAACACTATTTAGATCCGGGAACTAGAAGGGTTAATCTTAAGCAGTCTGCACTGTGGGTTCCTGGAGAGGCTCCAGAGCCAGCTCCTTCCTCCCAGGCTCTGCTGTCTTTAATGCTGCGGGAAGATGCTCACCCACCAGATGCCTCCTGACTTCATCTGCTCCACACAGCTGGAGACAGGCCACAGCTTGCTTAGAAGTGGGGAATACCGCACAGCTCCTACCCCCCACCCCACAGGATGTCCAGGAGCTTGTTTACACCAAATGCTCTAACTCTGAGAGCCGTGTACTTTCCAGGATTCACACACTACCTTCTCATTTCTTCAGGAAGAAAACAACTCTTGCAAGGTGTTACAAGAAGCTGAAGCCAGCGCCTCAGATGTTTACCTCCTTTTGGAAGCTGCCATCTATCAAACAGCCCTTTCTTTAAGCTAATTAAACTTGCGGTGGCCATTCACTTTTTCTTAAGCCAAGTAATAGAGCCTCGGCAGAGTGGCACACTACGATAGTCCAGGACTCTAGAGGGTAAGGCAGGATAGTAGCAAGTTCAAGGCCAGCCTGGGCTACACAGTGAGTTTGGGGCCAGCCTGTAGTATATAGGAAGATGATGTCTCACAATTATTTTTTCAGATTGTTTCGTACAAGGCAAAGAACATCGTCACGGTGTACAGACACACGTGTTAGAGCCATAAGGAAAGTAGAACTGACTGAACTTCACGGGAGGCACTGCACGGAGGACACGGGAGGAAGCCACAACTGGAGGGTGCGCCAAGACTCCAAGTTCCGGCACCGCTCAGAGCCTAGTGTCGGAGGGTTTCCTGAATTTCACCATTGCTGGAAACGCTTGTTCTGTTCGGTCTCCTCTGTGTGCAATGCACCTCAAAGAACGATCACCGAGAAAAGCAAAAGAAGCCAAACACTTAGAGACCGACTGGAAGAGAATCCTGTGCCTTAGGGACAGAGGGACGATGGGAGACTATTACCTCTTACTCATCCTGGCTGCCTTCAAATTCATGGCAATCCTCTTGCCTCAGACTCCCAAATGCTGAGGTTACAGGCCTGTACCACCAGATCCGGCTTTATTTTTCCAAACTGTCTATGAAGTGCTTAACTATCCTCATTTATTATCATTTTAAATGCATCAAAATGGAGACTGGTGAGCTAGCTCAAAGCTGCTGCAAAACCAATGACCTAAGTGCAGTTCCTGGGGTCATGTGGTGGAAGGGAGAGCCCTCTTATCTTATTGCAAGTTGTGCTCTGGGGTGTACACAGACACACAGACACACAGACACACACACACACACACAGACACACACACACACACACTCACTCCACTCATATATCTGGGGTGCACACATACACACACACACACACACACAGACACACACATACACACACACACACTCCACTCATCTATCAAATAAACAAATGTAATCAAAAGACCCAAAAGGAAGAGAAGGGAGCTAAGTCACTTGTTTGTCACCCAGGCTGGGCCCGGGCTCTCTTCTCCCTGCTGCTCCAATCCTCAGCAGCGTCTGCACTCGACTCAAGGCTCGGTCTGCTGGGGGTGGGAGGAAGATGTGACAGCATTTTAGTCACACTCCTTACTGCCTGGAAGTACCAGTCCTTTAAATGTGCGTGAACAGTGCTCAATTAACAATAAAGTGTAAGTTCTTAGTTAATAAAGAACAGATAAGGACACAACAACACAGCTACTTACATCCAAAGAGAGCTTTCCACCTGAGTTACTGGAACATTCTTCGTAAGTGTTCTCATGTCTCATAAACCTCAACCCTGTTTTTAAACCTAAAGTCTAGTAAGGAACAGAAATACCATACTAACCAGATAATCCCTCGCCACACTATTTCAACTAGAACCATAGCTGGTAAAATAAGTATTTCTTCTGGACTGCTAATATTATGTGAAAGTATTTCTTGAACAGAATGATAGCAACTGAAGTCTAAGTGGAAGATTAATAAGTGAATTAATTCTTAAATGCTTGCCCTTGGTAGAATTCTGATGGAACTCAATGACTTTTAAGTCTTTCATCAAGGGCTGTGAGATGGCCCTGTAGGCAGGGGGGCTTGTATTGCAAGCCTGAGCACCTGAGTTTAATCCCTGCAACCCACGTTTGAAGGAAAGAACTGACTCCTGCCTGCACTACCACACACATCACATAAAGACACATAGTGCAAGCCGGGCCATGGTGGCGCACGCCTTTAATTCCAGCACTCAGGAGGCAGAGCCAGGAGGATGTCTGTGAGTTCGAGGCCAGCCTGGGCTACAGAGTGAGTTCCAGGACAGCCAGGGCTACATAGAGAAACCCTGTCTAAAAAAAGGAAAAGCTCCTATCAAGCACAGTAAGTCTAAGTTAAAACAAACAAACAATGCTCCCAACCACACATAAAAAGAACTGTTTTTGACTTTTCAGTGATGAAAAATGAATTCTGAAGGCAAAAAGCTTTCTATTTAAAGTTCTATAACAGATGAGCATAGGAAACAATCTTTCATCTCTACATTTACAGCCTTCAATGAAACCCAAATGTGTTTGTGAGAGACATCTAAGTAGCCCAGGCTGGCCGTGACTTTCCCATCCTCCTGCCTTGGTCTCTCCTGCTCCAGGACTGCAGATTGAAGCCCCCCACTGGCCGGCTGCTGTCAGCAGTAAGGCGCAGGAGCAGAGGCCCGGCCTCCCAGCACCTGAGCGGTAACTTACTCTCGTTAGGTCCATGCCCAGCTTGAGCTGCGACAGGAGATGCAGGATGACACTGCGCTGCTCCTCCACGGCCCCCAGGTCATCCTCCTTGTTGTCACAGGTGTCCTCTATCTCATCCTCTGCATCAATTTCCTCAGGTTCCTTGATGTGGAGAGAGCGGAGTCGGGTATTGTAAGTACTTATAGACATTCACAAGAAAAAAACAATCACCCCAAACCCAGAAGGACAAACATGGTATGTACTCACTCATAAGTGGATTCTAGATGTAAAGCAAAGAACAATCAGACTGCAACCCACAGAACTAGGGAGGCTATGTAGCAGGGGGGACCCTAGGATGACTGTGGCTTATAATAAGTTTTGGTTTTATTCAATTACTGGGCAAGCCTCAATGAAACATTTCACTATTAGGATAAGAATTTATACTGTATCAAGCTGATAATAGAAAAATAAATAAATAAATGGAAAAAAAGAAAAGAAAAATCACTCGGCCTTGGAGACATTTATACTAGGTCTAAACAAATCAGAGGGTGGGCAAAGCCCTTCTGAAGACACAACTCCCATCAGTAAGCCAAGAAACACATTTCCCTCCAAGAGCCCACAATTGCTGGTAGAGAACAGACTGTGGGCCTGTGACATGTTTTTCTGTTTTCTAAGACACAGTCTTACTGTGTAACCACGTTAACCCAGCACTCACTATGTATCCAAGGCTGGCTTCAAACTTATGGCAACTCTCCTGTCTTAGTCTCCTGGGTACTGAGATCGCAGAAATGTGTCTACATGCCCAGCTGAAATACATTCATTTTATAGAAGCAGTATTTCTTAAAAGAGCAAAGAATGCCCCCTGAATAAACTCAGCTTTGAACCTAGTCTGGGAACAACATCTACAATTTTAAGTGATTTCTGTCTGCTTGTTTGTTCTGAGACAAAGTCTCTCACTATGTAAGGCAAGCTCGCCTTGACCTTGGCCTCCCAAGTCTTTGGATTACAGGCATAAGCCACCAGGCCTGGCTAAGTTCTGGAGGCTTTGTTTTAAATTTTCATTTTGTTAATTTAAAAAATTTTATGTCGTGTGTGTGTGTGTATGTGTGTGTGTGTGTGTGTGTGTGTGTGTGTGTGTGTGTGTGTGTGTGTGTGTGCAGGTGCTAGAAAGGCCAGAGGCCACAGATTCCCTGAATCTGGAGCTGTGCGCCACCCCACGTGAGTACTAGGAACCATACTCTGGCCCTCTTCAAGAGCAGTATGCTCTTAACTGCTGAGCCATCTCCCCAACCCCAAGTTCAAGAGTTTTAGGGATTAAATGTTTGTCCTTGTTTAAGCTAAAGCTACAAAGTAAAACTGAAAAGGTTGGATGCACACAATGTCAGATCTAAAAATCTAGCCTTATTCTGCTGTTGACTCCTGCCTGAGAAGATCTGTGGTTGGAAAGAGATTCCAGATAACATAAAAACTCTGTGGCTCGTCGGGCAGCTACACTGCCTGCCGCCACCGCCTGGCCTCTGGGCAGCATTTTAATCAGTAACACCCCACTCCCCACCCCCACAACTGAATGTATACTTCCATCTCACCAGCTCCTAATGACCAGTTAAACAACTGCATATTTATTACTAGCTTACTTTTAATTTTTTTAGGGTTTTCAGATGAAGGCAGGAGTGGGGGTGGTGCTTCACTCTGTAGCCCAGGCTAGCCTTTAATGCTCAATAATTTTTTTTTGTTTTGAAATAGAGAGTTTCAAATGGCCTAGGTTGGTCTTGAACTTACTATGTCTTTGAACTCCTGATTCTCTTGCATTTGCTTCCCACATGCTCAAATTATAGGCATGCATCTACTCCGGTTCTGACTGTGTGTGTGTGTGTGTGTGTGTGTGTGTGTGTGTGTGTGTGTGTGTGTGTGTGTGTGTATGTGTGTGTGTACATGTGAAGGCCAGAGGTTGATGTCAGAGACCTTCCTTTATTATTTTTCAGACTATCTCTCTCAGTGACCTGGAGTTTACCGATTCTCCTAGGCTGGCCGGCCAGTAAGCTCCAGGTATCTGCCTGTCTCCATCCCTACCCGATCCCAGGCACTGCAGTTAAAGACGCATGCCACTGCACCTGGCTTTCACACGGGTGCTGGGAAACCGAACTGAGTCTCATACTTGCATAACAGAAACTGCCAATTGGCCGTCTCCCAACCCTACTGGCTTTATGTTTCTGCCAGAGTCTCACTCTGTATGTAGCTAGGCTGGCTTAGAAACTCACTTTGTAGTGATTCTCCTGCCTCAGCCTTTAGAGTAGCTAGGATTAAAAGCTGGAGCTACCTTACCTGTCCAGCTTGCTTTGAGCAAGGTCCAAAGGTTCAGTAGCACCTTGTCAGCTGTCAGCAGGCACAGTGGTGGTGCCCTGCCTCTCAAAGAGCAGCTCGTTAACCTCTTTCTGCCAGGAAGCTGAATATAAGGATGCCATCTTTTCTAATTCATTAGATTTTAAATTTTCAGGATAGTGGAGTGGGGATGGGCAGGGTTTCTTTTTTGTTGTTTTGTTTTGTTTTTTGAGACAGGATTTCTCTGTATAGTTTTGGTGTCTGTCCTGGATCTCACTCTGTAGACCAGGCTGGTCTCAAACTTACAGAGATCTGCCTGGCTCTGCCTCCCGATGCTGGGTTTAAAGGCGTGTACCACCGGCCCATGGGTAGGTATTTCTGAGACAGTGTCTCACTGTGTAGCCGAGGCTAGTCTTAAACCCACAGCAATATTTCTATTTTAGCCTCACATAGAGCTGGGAATACAGGTGTAAGCCATCATGCTTCGATAGTTATAATGATTTTTTTAAAAAAATTATTTTGTGTTATTTTTATTTCCCCCGCCACTATTTATCCTATCAAATAAGATACTCACCTGTTTTTGTTCTGTATAGCTAGACCAAAACCAAACCAAACACACACAGACATGGACATTGACACAGACACACTAAAAAACCTCACACCTGCCAGATGTGGTGGACTCAGGAGACAGAGGCAGGTGGATCTCTGTGAGTCTAGGCAGAGAAACCTTGTCTCCAAAAACCAAAAATAAATAAACAGATAGATAAATAAATAAATAAAAGACTACATAGGCAAAATTGTGTGTTCACACAGAGAGCCCTCTGTTTTTATGACCTCTTTCCTTGAAGAGGCAGCCTATTGGGAAGCAGCTCCTGCTCTGGAGCCTAGATCCTCTGCACATAAAAGTCTCTTCACACAAGGGGAACTGATAGCCCTCTCTCACGTGGACCAAATAAAACCATTATATGAGATTAAATAATTACAAGAGCCCCTTCTAGGTGGCGATTAAGAATGCTCTCTGACATTACATCTGAGGTTGGACTTAGGCTTCAGATGAATAATGCAAACACAGCTTTAGAGAATGGGGTGTCACTCCGAGAAAGAGGTGCTCAGTGACCCAAGACCCTGGCACACTCAATCTCAGCACTAAAACCAAACAGTAACAATAGCAACAGAAGCCAGTTACTTTATGGGTTGAACCTTCTCTACTGGAAGTAGTATTAAAGAGAAACCACCAGGAAGAACAACTGTAGAAGAATACAGTTTTCAATATTAAAAAAGCATTACATTCACGTACATACTTCGTGTATGTGTGTGTGGGCACATGTGTGGCATGGCGTACACATGGAAGTCAGAGGACAACATGAGGAGTCATTCCCTCCTCTGTCATAAGGTCCCAGGGACTGAACTCAGGGTGTCAGACTTGACAGCAAGTGCCTTTACCCACTGAGCCCTCTCGCTGGCCCTGTTTTCATTGCTTTAACACAAACAAACAACAAGTAATTTACTGAAATAGGAAAGAAAATGTATTTAATATTTTTGAGACAGGAACTTGCTATATTATAGACCTCAGAGAGCTGCCTGCCTCTGCCTCCCAAGCACTGGAACCAAAGGTGTGCACCGCCACACCCGGGAAGAGAAATTTTACCAACAGCTAAACACTGACTCTACATCATGCTGTGGACAAAAGAATTCAGAAGCTTTCCCACTTTTCTGGACTGTCTCAGGCAGCACAGGCTGGCCTTCAAGTTGGTAATTTGCTGAGATTCAGAACATGTGCCACCACCCCTAGCTGGAAGCTCTCTTTCCTGGTCATCATGATTTTCTTCAAAAGCTTAAGCTAGCAATGCACTTCCAAACTACAAAACAAACTTTCAAATATGTGAAACGCTTACAAACGCTGGCGGCTAGCAATGACAAGGGCCGAGAGTGAGTGAATGTCTAGGAACCTGTGCTAGCTGAAGACTGCATGGGAAAGAAAAATCACAGTTCTACAAGACTCCTTCTTTCTTTGTCTTGATGTCAGCCTCAGAGGCAATAAGAAACCACAGAATTAAAAAAAACATTTTTTCAAGGCAGAGCTTTTCTGTGTAGCCCTGGCTGTCCTAGAACTAGCTCTACAGACCAGGCTGGCCTTGAACTCATAGAGATCTGCCAGCCTCTGCCTCTTGAGAGCTGGGATTAAACACGTGTGCCACCACCGCCCAGTGAATTTCTTTTTACTTATTTATTTATATAGCTGTACATGTGTAAGTGTTTTAAGTGTGTGGGTGTGCAAGTGCCGTGGCACACACATGAAGAAGGGCAGAGGACAGCTGGCTCTTCCCTCCCACCGTTCGGGCTCTGGGGACAGAACTTGGGCTGCGAGGCTCTGCAGCAAGTGCCCTCATCCAGTGAGCCACGTCACCAGCCCAGGCTCAATGGCGGTATCCGGTTGGATGAGGTCTACCTTCGCCCTTGGCGGATAACAAACCGCACCTGTAAACTTTGGGACAATAAAGGTGTGGTCTGGTGTGCCTGGATGGAGTCTAAACTTTAACACTAACTGCTACCTGTGCTATTTTCTATCTGTACTTGGTGATCTAGTCACCAAGAGAACGATTTGGAAATCTGGCAGCCTCCTCCCAGATCCAGTGCCCCATCCCTTACAAAAGTCTCATTTTGCTAACAACGTGCTCTGTGCTCATGGTCCTTTACACTAAACCTCTTCTAGTCTGGCCTTCTCTCCAAAGCAGTGGCTCCATGACCTTAAATGCTCCTCAGAAACATTCATTATCACATGTCCCTCTCCTGGAACATTCAACATGCTCAAATCACAGTAAATCTTGCTCAGAAGGGGCTTTCTCATTTCCTGGCTTTGTGAATAGCAACACAATTTTATCTTGTTATTCTGGCTCCAAAGTTTCCAATCTGTCATAGTCTGGCTGATTTTTGTCATTTGAAATGCACATTGCTGATTCATTTGCTTTCATTTTTACTTCCATGGTCTTTGATCCCATTTTAATTCCAAGTCATATCATATACCAATCCTCCTATATCCCTCTCCCAGGCACACGATCTACTGTCGCTCTATTAAGACTAAGTCCTGCCCCACTTTATTGCTGCATTGTGGTCTCTGTGGAGCAATCCTGAGAAGTACCTCTCCACATGGAGTACATGACTGCAGTACCCAACAACCCTGTGGTGGTTCTCATAAGCTACTTACAACGGAACTCTGCTGTTAGCTTTATCCGCATCCCAGTCTCACAGGGCATCACCATCACTACTCTACAGGTGAGGAAGCTTAGAACCAAACTTTAAAAGCTTTGTCCCCAAAGCATTCCTCCTCTACATCACTCAGTATTTCTTTTCTTTCTCTGAGGGGCAAACTGCAAAGAGTGTAAATCATGTCCATTAAGGAGGAAATGTCTCATCTTATCACCTGCTTCTTTTAGTGTACAGAAGTTGAGGCTGCAAGTAGACTGCACACCGCTTCAGTGAAGGAACTGTCTTCTGATTGGGTTTCTCCTTAATTCCAGACAGCTTGGTAACCACAAGTGTGTGCACTTGTGTGTGTCAACGCATGTTATTTACTTGGTTAGCCTGCTTGCCTGCTCTTCAGCTCCCTGGCCCCAGCACCTCTTCATAAATTCAAAGTCTTTGCCAGGTTTGGACTAGTGTCTTAGCTCTTAAGAAACAACATGCTAGTATATAAATGATCATAAAGTCCACATTATTCTTGACTCAATAACTCTATTGGGGACATAATGTAAAGAAATAATAAAAAATTGGGGAGGAATATAATACTTAGCAATAGTGTTATTAATAATAACAAGAAAGACAAACTAGACGTTCAACAAGAGGACATGAACTCAGTATCTTACTGTGACTTTCAAACACTAATTCTATAGGCCAGACCACAAGACAGAAAAGAGCTTCAATTATCTATGTAATTATAGTAAGCATAAAAATTGCAGACACGAACATAAAAGGCAAAGCAAACAAACCAAAAAATGATATCATTTCTAACAGCACATCTGCAGCAGAGCACAACACTGCAGCTCCTGGAAACACAGAATGAGCACTGATGTACGTAACCACTAAAGGTCGAGGTCAAGTGATGCGGAGCAACATCTGTAACAACTGTAGTGGTAACCCGCCTACCACTGCAAGCAGAGCTGACAATCTCAATGCTATTTTAAGCACTTGTAAATGTAATAGCAAAGACTAATACAGTTAAATTAACAATGTGCAGACCCACACCTTTAATCCCAGCAGTCAGGAGGCAGAGGCAGGTGAATCTGAGTTCAGGGTCAGCCTGGTCTACCAGGATGGCCGAGACTACACCACCGTCTCAAAAAAACAAAACCAACAAGAAACAACAACAAAACGAAACCAACCAACCAACCACCACCAACAAAACAATGTAATGGGAAGCTGGCTGTACAGGGTGGTGCCTGTGAGGTGAGCCAGGAGGACTACGGACAGTTAAGGCCAACCAGGGCCTTTAACCGTCTAGTGTTCTATGGACACAAACGCCTTAACAACAACAACAACAACAACAACACACACTGCCCCCTTTCAAGGAGTCCTCACTTCTTCCAGCAACATCAAGTTGTCATGTTCCCTTACCCTTGCTAACACTCCAGACTCTGCCACAGCCTGCGCTTCCGGGACTGCCATGGGCTTGCTGGCCTCGGCTGCAAAGGGCGGCTCAGCTCCATTTTTATAGTGGTTTGATAAAGGTATCTTTGGTTCCAACCACTCAATTGTCGTTCCTGATGAAGAAAGAGAAAAATTGTGCTGAGACTTGCTCATAATCTGGGAAGTTGAGCAGATCTGGATTTTATTAAACAATTTTGTTCTGACCCTACAAGACTGAAGCTCTTCAAACTGCACTGAAAGGAGACAGCTACTCGACCTCATTAGCATGAGCACCATGATTGGGTACTTCACTACAGAGCCACTGCAACCTGAAATGAGACACTATGTAAAAGAAATCCACCTGGAAAAGGGCTGATTTTGCTTCTTAGACAAGTCTGTGAATCATGGAGTGAGTTCCCAAACAATAGATTGACCATTGATATCAACTATGTCCCTCTAATAATCAAAATGTATATAATTAGGCTTTAGTGGGGAGTCACTCCAGGAACCTGAATGGTAAACCAACATAATTTGTTTAAATTAAAGACTGCAATTTTCCTAATAACTGATTGGCTCTAATTTAAGTAACACACACACACACACACACACACACACACACACACACACACACCCCTTTTATTTAAATCATGAACAGCCCAACATAACTTTTAAACTGAAAACCTTTTCTACTGAATAAACAGAGCTGACCTAGTGAAAGTCAGCAGTCACATTTAGAGACCTGTCACCTTCTCAGTTAATGAGTCAATGGTCTCTTGTTACCCTCAACTAGTTTAACAGAGTAGATTCTATACCTAATCAATAATGGAAATGTTCCATTTGATTTCAGAGGCTGATCTGGGTTTCACAGAAGCTAGGTTATGGAGTACAAGAATTAGGGATGCTCGGACTTCTAAAACAGGAAACTAAAAACAGCAAGACACTAAGTCCAAGGCCAGACTCAGAAGAGAAATAAGTGACAAATCACCCAACAGGCTAATAGTGACATGCCTTGTTCAATGGCCCTTGGCACTAGGGGCATTAAGATTGGAGGAATGTCCTGGCTAAGGTCATGGGACCTATTTTAAAGTTGTACAGAAATGAAAATACTCCTCTACCCTAAAATAATTACATTAATTAAAAGACCCATTTTAGGGGGCTACTTAGCTAACTAGAAACTATAATAAGACTTTATTAAACCAGTCATTTATAAAACCTGGCCTCAAGGCCTCTCCAAATCAACACAGATACAACCAACCGAGTCTTTAGATAACATATATTCTGACTCTATGGTCCAGGCACAGTACTACACACTTGCCATCCTAGTGTTTAGAAAGCAGGTGCAGTATGGGCTGGAGAGATGGCGGCTCAGGGGTTAAGAGCAGGGGCTGCTCTTCCAGAGGTCCTGAGTTCAATTCCCAGCAACCATATGGTGGCTCACAGCCACTTATGAGATCTGGTGCCCTCTTCTGGCATGCAGGTGTACATGCAGAGCACTCATACATAAAATATAAATAAATAAAACTAAAAAGAAAAGAATCAAGGAAGCAGGAGCAGCTGAGGCTAGCCTGGGATACACAGTGAGTTTACAGCCAGCCCAGGCTAGACAGTGATACTTTATCCATGAATGAATAAAACGAAAATATGACTTTATGGAGTTGAACATTCTTCTAAACAGAGATTTCATTTGTCATGTTATTGAGGAATTTGAATGGAAAGGTAACTTTTTTCAAGTTATAGTTTCATTCTGAGGTGATTTTAAAATAAATTTGTACATGCCCAATTTGGAAAAGATAGCAACTATGGTTGAGAACCAGCAATGGCAATTAGTCAATTCCTTGAACTACCTATAAACCTAGCCTCCAAAAAATCCAACGTGTGAACAACTTTTACTTAAAAACTTAAAAACTTTGGTAATTAATGCAAATTTACTCATACACCTTTCTTGGTCATGAGGAAATGTCAAAAATAAAATTGTATTAATTTAAAGCATACAAAAGTTTCACAATTGTTTTAAATGATATACTATTTAATCAAATATTTATTTAACATTTAATCGAGTAACCAGCACCAGTGTTACCTGATAGACTTTTAAAAATTAAACAGTACAGACTAGAAATAAGATGTTTCATTTTCCTAACAAACTCAGGAACTAAAATTAGCCCCCATTTCTTACATCAGGGTAACTCATCTAAGGTTCAAATTAGGGAAATAACTTGAGAAAACCAAAGTACTCACCTAAGGATGTAATACAACCAAAAAATTTCCCTTAGCACAAGAATGGAACTTGGAAAGTATTCTTGATATTTAGTGGGAAACACATGCTATAATACAATACAATACTACAGAGTTAACGAGCCTGGACAGAGCTGGTGGGGGACACGCCCCCAGTGACTCTACCCAGATTACCTTGGATACAAGAATGCCATTACTTTAACAGAAACTGAGCTGTAGATTTACCTTTTGACATGTTGAGTTTGAGGTTTAGAAAGGTATATTCAATGATGTTAAACATTAGACTGAAATTATTCTAAATTCCAAAACAGGACACAATCAGGAAGTTTGTAATTAGTGTGCTAATTAAAACCAAGAGACTCAACTGATTTTTTTCCCTTCCCTCTCTTTTTTCAAAAAATGTTTCTCTAGCATTAGAATGATAATGACTATAGTCCTTCCCGTGTTTCAAGGCCAATGTCACACTCCACCCTTAATCCACGACTCACCTGAGGGCAAGGAGCCCTTCTGATGTGAGGCGTGCTGCAGCTGGAGGATGTGGAAGCAGTCGTTTAAGCAGTTCATAGTTGCCATGGAAGTAGCTTTGAGCATCAAGAGGTCCTGGTCCAAAGAACTCAGAAGGCCGGAAGCAGGAAGGCATTCGATCCGTCTGATTAGGTCTCGTTGCTGTCCTTCAGCATGAGACATCATCTAAAAAAAGAACAGTCCTGTGGGTCTCACTCAACATGACACACATCATTTAAATAATAGAAATCATTCTTTGAAGCATTTTCCAAATGACTTAGAAATTAATCTTAAGTTTGCTAGACTATTTTCTTGCTTAAAAAATTATTTTATTGCCGGGCGGTGGTGGCTCACGCCTTTAATCCCAGCACTCGGGAGGCAGAGGCAGGCGGATCTCTGTGAGTTC